TTTTCACACGCTGAGTTGGCCATTACTGTATTTGCTCCACGTATTTGAAATTTTTCAAATAACTTGACTTGCTTTATCAAAGCAGCAATTTGAGCATTGGTGGAAGCTGTGTTATCTAATTCATACATTCCAGCTGTTTTTGATGATACCATTCTTTTTGATGATGAACATTGAATGAATATGGTAATTAATTCAAACAAATCCATGCATTGTTGCACTGATTTTCCTATGATCGATCCACATGCAATTTTGACAGAGCTGAAAGTCTGGAGTAAAAGTATTGCACTTGATTCCCAATGACTATCCCATGATTTTGACACTTTCACATCAGCTCTTTAAATTGGTTCCATGCTTTTCGATTGCTCTCTCCATCTTTCTGTTTGAAGCTCTGAATTCCCAAACTTAATTTTGCTACCTTTGCCGATGGGAAGAATTTGTTGCAGAATCTTCTAGTTAGTTTTTCCTATGTAGTAATGCTTCTATGAGGTTTGGCATCTAGACACTCCAATGTGGCATCTCACAGTGTATTTGGAAATAATTGTAGCTAGATAGCGTTTTCATTTGTCCCTGAAGCATGACAATTCCTGAAAAATTTGGAAATATGTGATTCGAATTTTCATGAGGTAGCCCTAGAATTACATAGTATTGCTCATCGAATTAATCTAGTCTTGCCTGATTTGGAAATTGTTCAACCTAAAATCTGGATACACAATATTGGAATGCGTGGGGATTGCTATAGGCATCAAGAACATGGAAACTGGCAGGTCTCCTTCATTTATTTTCCTTTGCTCTTATTTTTGATCTCTCCGGCCTTTTCTCCAATTGGCTATATAGGAATAGGGTTTTTTTTATTATCAATCATTTGATGTTGCTATTTTTGTTTGTGTTTCTTGCGTCTTCATCTAAAGGTACGTTCTATTTTCGAATCAGCTGGTTCAAGATCGTCGCCTTGGGTACGAATCATACAATGAACACCTTTTTTTTTTTGAAAATAAAAAGAAAAGAAACAAATCAAATAGTTGTTGAAAATAAAATAAATTAAGACTAAAAGTAATAGTTCCCTGCAACGGTACCAAAAACTTGATGTCTATTTTGTATCCCACAAGTATACCGGTCGCAACAAATATTAAGTGTACCTAAGAGTCCAAATTATCGTTCTCACGAAGAGTATACTTTAGCACTTAATCCAATTTGTTTTTCTAACCACTATTCGATGGAAGCAAATAAAAACTTGTATGATTTAAGTTGTAACCTAAATATGAGGAAATAAGTGGATACACACACGACTGGTTTAGAAATTAAACAATGAATGGATGTTAAGACAGAATAATTTCACCTATTGATCACGTTTATATATTAAATCAAAATTCATATCTAATGTAGTGTTTGGTCGAATTCTCTTATTGTATTTGATTTACTCCTATCGTGTTCTCATTAAACCTATTTAACTCGTTAAATTCCATATCTCTATGTGAATTTGGCTTAGTTAAATGAGTTTCTTTATCCTAGGAATTCAATTATGACCATAATAATTAGTATATGTATCTCTACTCGTTATACCAATTTATCGGATTTTTATTATATGATCTAAAACCTAAATTCATATATCTATTCTTAAAAGATTCATCAGATCATCAAATTAGTGATTAAGTAATTTAACGCATTAAATCCATAGTAAAATCAACACATGGAAAAAATAAAGAGCAAGAATCTTAATTAAAAACATAAAGGATCCCAATTGGGTTACATTATTCGCTCTAAAAAGAGATTTAGCTATTCATAATGGAAGAATAAAAACAATAAATTGTCTTAGAATACATCACCGGATTTGTATTAAAAATATAGGAAAAAAGATTTAAATCTTGCACCAAGAACATCTTCCTCTTCCAATCAATGCTCCAAACCTTGAGTTCTTGTTTTTTTCCCTTGAATTCTATTCTTTAATCTCCAAGTGTGCTTCTTGCCTATCAATGTATGAATCCCCTTCAAAAGTACAAGAAAATTGTATTTATAGGTGTCTCCTCAAGTGTAGAAAGTAGGGTTTTCTTCTAGACTTTAAATGGGCCAAAATTGGGTTCAAGTTACGTCTCATGGCGACGTTGCAACTCTATGATAATATGGGGATGGTGCTGCTGAATCCCTACGGTGCCAAGGTTCAGTAGTGATGGGCACTGCGACGCTTACACTCTATTTCGCTTCGTCATTCGTGGTGCCTTGGCGCTATTATTCCACTCCTTTTGCTTTGCCCTTATATCCATAATTTCTCTTTGATCATGGAAATAGTTTTATTTGATGAACTTCTTTGTGTCTTTCATCATCTTAACAATCCTTCAAAACACTATTAATAGATACATTAAAAACATTTAATACTTATAAAATCTAGCTTACAATAAATTTAAAATTGACTTAAACTCATGGGTAAAATACACTCGTAGAAAAAAAAAATAATACACACACACAGACACTCTCTCTATTCATCTAGGAAGGATTTGTGGGTTTCCTATTTTACCCTTAAATATTCATTTAAGTTATTCTCAAACTCTAGTCTAATTGTCTTTCCATTTACAAATATCTTTTCAATGTATGAGTTTTGCATTTCTCATTTTTCACATTCCTTCAATCCTAACCCTAAAAATCTATCTTCCTTTCTTGTAAGGGAGAGAAATCATCAACCACCAAGGCGATACACATGCTCAGTTTACCAAAATCTGAATCAATACCAAAGCAAACAACCCAAGATCACCACAAAGGTTTCACCTACGGTTGCTAAGCCTTTTGCCACTTAGCGACCACCACAAAGGGGAGAAATATCATCAAGATATATGCACTAAAGAAAATGGCAGAAGGTGGAGGTGATGAAGCTGAGAGAGAGAGCACGCAGGGAGGAAAAAATGGAGACACCAAGTCTTGTTCTTCAAAGTGGCGTGCAAGACCAAAGAATATATATTGGGCCAAGTCACAAAATAAGGTAAGTTAGGTTTTAGGTAATGGGTCAAGGTCCAATAACATATAAGTGGACAACAATGTGGGCCTCAAAACTAGCTAGCCATCTAAGTAGGTGAAAACATGCCCCAAGAGCAACACAATTTAATTGGTTGCTTCAAATGGTTCAATCTCTTCTTGGGTCTAGTCATTACAATTTGGTATTGATTTGTCACTCAGTCATATCGTAATCATCGATTGATAATTAAAACCACTTACGTCATCGCCTAAGAGGTCATTTGACAACAATATGTCCAACAACCTCTACCTTGGTATCAAAAGACCTGCAAAAAAGAATGATTCCTATTAGTGACACCTCTAACAAAAAACCAATAAAATTGGAAATTATTTACCTGTACCAATGTTTAGAAGTTTCTTGCAACTTCTAAACTTTGCCAGTGGCAGCATCTTCGTGCCTATATCAGAAGGGTTGTAATGTATGTGGACATTTTCAAGTCTTACCACCTCTTAAGATATTATATCTCTAATGAAGTGAAGTCTAACATCAATGTGTTTAGTGTGTTCATGAAAAATGGGGTTATTGCATAAATGTATAGACGATTGACTATCAGAATACACTGCCACATAATCATTCAAGACACATAGTTCATGAAGTAGACCTCTAAGCCATATAGCTTCTTTAATAACTTCAGTGGTGGCAATATATTCTGATTCTATAGTGGACAGTGCAACAATGTGTTGTAACTTTGATTTCCAACTAACACATGATTAGATAAGGTAAACACGTAAGATGAAGTTGATTTCCTACCATCCCAATCTCCTGCATAGTTAGCATCTACAAAATCCTTCAATTTTACACATTCTTTTTTAGCACTAAACTTTAAACCTACGTCACCCACACCCTTCAAGTACCTTAATAGCCACTTTAATGCTTCCCAATGTTCAGGGCCCGGATTGGTCATGTACCTACTAAGAGTACTACCAGTGAAACCTAAATCTGGTCTAGTACAAACCATCAAATACATTACGAAACCAATCACATTAGAGTAAGGCACTCTACTTATATATTCTACTTCACGCTCATTGCAAGGAGATTATTCTTTCGATAAAAGCAAAATGATTAGCAAAAGGCAACGTGACAGATTTGCAATCACTTATATTAAATTTCTTCAATACTTTAGATATGTATGGAGACTGATGCAAGGACAAAACGAAATTTGACCTATCTCTTTCTATTTCCATGCCTAGGATTCTCTTAGCCTTACCTAGGTCTTTCATGTCAAATTCACCACTTAATTTTGCTTTTATATTATTTATCCACTTAGAGGAAGAATCAATCAAGAGCATGTCATCCACATAGAGTAACAAAAACAAATAATTATCATCAGTCTCATTGTGTTGAAAATACAAACAATGATCAAATTTACTTCTTTAGAACCCTATAGTGAGTACAAAGGAATCAAACCTCTTGTACTACTATCTAGGAGATTATTTTTAGCCATACAAGAACCTTTTCAGAAAACACACATAATCAGGTTTTGACTTATCCTTAAAACCTTTTGGTTGATTCATGAAGTTTTGTTCGTCAAGCTCACCATGTAGAAAAGTAGTTTTTACATCAAGTTCAAGTTTCGAGTCAAAATGTGCAGCCAAGGCAAGCATGACCCTAATAGTGGTATACTTAACAACTGGTGAAAAAATCTCATTATAATCAATGCCCTTCCTCTGCATGTAACCCTTATCCACTAACCTAGCTTTAAACCTTAATGGTTCCGAACTACTAGTACCTTCCTTAACATTAAAGACCCATTTCCAATCGACGATCGATTTGTTCTTAGGCCTAGGTACTAGCTCCCAAGTTTGATTCTTTTCTAGAGAACTCATCTCTTCATTCATCGCCAAGAGCCATTCCTTAGATTGATCACTACCTTTCGCCTCCTCAAAGGATTTGGGCTCTCTATCAACTAGTTCTTCGTAACTAGCATGGATGAAAGCTAACTTAGATTCAAAATCGAACCTTCTAGGTTCTTTCGTTTGTCTCCTCTCTCTATCCTTAACTAGATATAATGAGCCAAGGGATTTTCTTCCTTAGGGTATTTTTCGATTACTACTTCATTATCGTTCTCCATTTCATGTTCCTGAACCTGGATCTCTACCTCATTAGGAGTAATATGGACAGGTGTACTAAGTTTTCCTAACTCTACCTTAAACCGATATCTCTCCTTACCTGGTTTGATTTCACTCACAGGTTCTATTTCTCCTTTAATGCACGACATCTCATTTTCGTTAAAAGTGACATCCCTAATCACGATGATCTTAACCCCTTTTTGACTTCTATCCCATAATCTGTATACCATAACACCCTCGAGATACCCTAGAAAAATGCACTTTCTAGCTCTAAGTTCCAGCTTTCTCTCGCTCTGATGAAAAAAGGCGGCACAGCCAAAAGTTCTAAGCGTAGAATAATCACTCGATTTACCTGACAATCTCTCGTGTGGAGTGTCACCATTCAATGAAGCAAATAGAGTCAAATTAATCAAATAACAAGCAATCATAACAGCCTCACCCCAAAAGGACTTGGGGACACCAGAATTTAACATCATGCAACGTACTTTATCAAGTATAGTTTCATTCATCCTTTCAGCTACCTCGTTTTGTTGGGGAGTGTAAGGAACAGTTTTATGTCTAGTTATGCTATTTTTTTTACACATACTATCAAATTCCATGTTGTAAAACTCTAGGCCGTTATCTGTCTTTAAAAATTTGATTTTCTTGCCAGTTTGATTTTTCACTTGTCTCTTCCTATTATTGAAATTATGAAAAGTCTCAAATTTATCTTTCAATAGATAGACCCACACTTTCCTGGTAGAAATACCTATTTTCACCCGATGTGGGATTACTGGCAGGACCCCATAGATCAGAATGCACATATTCAAGCATGCTTTTAGCTTTATGAATGCTCGAGGGGAATGATATTTTATGATGCTTACCAAGTACACAATGATCACAGAATGACAAATTTGACACACAGTCATTACCAAAAGCACATTTTTCATTAAGCAGCTTAAGTCCCTTAATGTCTACGTATGTAAGTCTATTATGCCATGCGTGTGTGATCAATCTTGGCAGAAGAGATAGAGGAGTTCAAACCTCTAATCACTTTCCTATGGTGATATAAATGTCGTTTTTCTTAGTTCCCTTAATGAAAACTAAAGTACCCTTAATCATTTTTAGCATACCATTTTCAATTTTACTAGTGAAGTCATCCTTTTCAAGTCTCCCTATTGAAATCAAATTCCTAGACAATTCAGGAATATCTCTAGCATCTTTTAACGTGTGACAAAACCCGTGTCAAATTTTACGTTTATATCACCAATTCCAGCAATAGTATAGACAAAGTTATTACACAGCACAACATGCCCAACATAGATTCAGGCAGGTTATAAAACCAATTTTTTTTGACGTCATGTGAAATGATGCACCAGAATCAAGTATCCACTCATACATGTGAGAATTAGCAGTTAGATTCAATTCAACAATGTATGCAACTGGATTTGGAAGAATATAGACCTCACCATTATCTATCTCAGATGTAGAAGATAACACATTTACCTCATCTCTCTTCTTAATCTTTAACTTACCTTTTTTTTATGGCAATCTTATATAAAATGCCATGTGTTTCCATAGCCATAGCATTTTCTAGCCTTCGTCCTAGATCTTGATCTAGGCCTACCCTTGCCTTTGTTTTTCCATTGATTGCCACTTGACTCGCAACCATTTTGATATCCATCATGACTATTTTGCCTAAATTGAGTTCTACCCCGAATCATATGTAACTCACTGCTCATATTATCGTATTTTTCAGCCCTAATTTCCATCTCTTTACTCCTAAAGAAATCTATGACAATTTCAGGAGTCAAGGTATCTTTGCCATACTTAATGGCACTCTTAACTTCTTTATAGGAATCAAGGATTGTATTGAGCAAAATTATAACCTTGTAAGTTTCGGACACAGCCTCATCACAGTTAATTATATCTTGCAACAACTTGTTAAACACATCTAAATTGTCATCGAGATCTTTTAAATGATCCATTTTAAAACTGAAAAAACGTTTGAGCAAGTAAAGTTTATTTGGTGTAGATTTAAGCAAATACAAGTCTTCCAAATTTTTCCAAAGTTCTTTGGTGGTTTTCAATTTACCCACCTTTCTTAAAATGACATCAGATAAGTGTAAAATAATTGAGGTGTAAGCATGCTCATCGACTTCTTCTCTTTCTTCTTTTGAAAAATCAGTTGAAAAATTGCCTTCAGTGGCCTTTAAAACTTCTCGTTGGACTAAAATACCCTTCATTTTTTGTTAGAAAATAGAAAAGTCACCGTTTCCGTTAAAAATTCTCAAATCATAATTGTGGGTTGTCATCTTTACACAATAGTCAAAGAGTGCACAAAACACAATCAAATTACACAAAGTTGTCCTAGGGTTACATACAATATACATCATTCTAAATTCCTAGGGTTTCGTAAGACTCACGGTCTTCGATCAAGGGAATGTTCAAAAAGGGTAAAGTCACAGTAATTCTAACGAAATTAATAAGTAGCGAAAATAACAATGCCATAGAAAACTATGTCTAACAGATAATCAATTTCACGATAATTATATCACTAAGAATTAAATACTGATTTAACTAAAAGACAGATACTCAATCAAACAATTAAGAGCATATAACCCTAATTTCTAGCACAAGCAATGGTTGTCAAGCATGACAACTCCCAAACCTAATTATCACCCCACACGATGATCTACTGTGCAAAAATATAAAGGTTTCAGCCTATTGACCAGAGCGGACCTATCTGCGTCTGTAACGTGGAGAGATGCGAATTTGCTACTTTAGGACTACCATTATTCACCCTAAAGATTCAGCAAATATAACAATTCCAATCAGCAACAAATGCAGATGGGGTCAGGGCAGAATCGTCCAATTTTTCATCCCCAACCTGAAACACTAAACCAAACACATCAAAACGTTCAGGAGAATGAAATAAACGAAATGGCAGAAAAAATCATGCTGTAGGGCCTTCCATGCACCGCCGTCGGACCGCCATCGTCACTACCACGCGTCTCAACCTGCTGATTATGGGTCCAGGCTTCGTTTGTCCAAATAAGGTCGGGTTTGGGAGTAATTGGAAGAATAGGGTTCGGTCAGTTTGGAGATTAGCGCCTATTTTTCTTGATTTTGTACTCTTTTGACAGAAATTGAAGCCCTACGCTCTGATAGCAGATGTAAGGGAGAGAAATCATCAACCACCAAGGCGATGTACATGCTTAGTTAACCAAAATCCAAATCAATACCAAAGCAAACGACCCAAGAACACCACAAAGGTTCCACCTACGGTTGCTAAGATTTTGCCACTTAGAAACCAACACAAAGGGGAAAAGTATTACCAAGATATATGCACTAAAGAAAATGGCATAAGGTGGAGGTGATGAAGCCAAGAGAGAGCATACAGGGAGGAGAAGATGGAGACACCAAGTCTTTTTCTTCACAGTGGCGTGCAAGATCAAAGAATATATACTGGGCCAAGTCACAAAATAAGGCAAGTTAGGTATTAGGTAATGGGTCAAGATCCAATAACATATAAGTGGACAATAGTGTGGGCCTCAAAACTAGCTAGCCATCCAAGTAGGTGAACACGTGGCCTGTGAGCAACACAATTTAATTGGTCGCTTCAAATGGTCCAATCTCTTCTTGGGTCGGATTGTTAAAATTTAATATTGATTTATCGCTCAGTCATATCGCAATCGTCGACTGATAATTATAACCGTTTACATCATCACCTGGGAGGTCATTTGACAATAATATGTCCAACATTTCTTCTTTGGCCTGCGATAATTTTAGTGGTAATTTTTGGTTCTTTTCAATCTTGTAAATAAAGTGTCTGGTGTCGTTGTGATGGTTCTTCAAAGAATAAAACCCTAACAATCTATCTTCTTTTGCTACGTTTTTAAAGGAAAACACCAACCTTCAGTAAGCCATCTTGATTTCGTCTGCACATGCCCTTTAAATTGTTAATCTTACTTTGGGTGTTGTTTTCAGACAATTTTAGAGTGCTGGCAAGTGTAAATTCGAACAGTTGGGTTATTGTTCGTTGGTTGGGTTTCTTGCGATTCGATTTATCTGATCGTGAAGTTCAATATTAATGGTAAAGATAATTTTTTTTCCTCTGCTGGATTTGATTAATTGCTAATTTATGTCAATTGCTGGGATATGTAGAGGCAACTTTTTTCCTCTGGCGGATTTCTTCAATTGCTGATTTATGGTTTTCAATTGCTGGGCTCTAGGGTTTAATATTATTGTTAAAGGTAACGTTGTTTTTGTCTTCTGTTAGAATTTCTCAATTTACAGTTATGGGATTAAAATTAGAAGGCTTTCTTTGAGTAAAAACGAGGGTTTTTGGTTGATGAGGGTTTGAAGTGTTAAGCAGAAACTATTTGTAGCATTTCCATTATGTTAATCAAGAGTATATTTTCATATGGGTCTCATCTTCTCTTCTGTATAACCCTAAGATATGTATATAATGTTGCCCAATTGAGCTAGAGGATCCATGTGGTTGAATGGAATTACTGTGGTCAATGGCTTAATGTTTTCTTCAATTGAACATGTGGAGGTATAGGGAGTGGGGTAACATATTAATGTGTTTTAAATGACATTTAATTTTAAGTTGTATTCTTGTTGTTAAAAAGGTCAGAAAATTTGTGAGTTTTTGTATGGACGAAATGGGCAGCTGATCCTGATGACAAAGGTCCACCTTTTCTTCCATTTTCTCTTATACTATAGTAGTTGAAATATAGGCATCTGTTCTTACATATTTTAATTGGCATACACTTTGACATGCATGGGCCTACAAACATGTCCACACTCTCCATGGATGTATACATGTATTTGTATTGAGATCGTAGGATGTGCTTGTGCTGCGTAATTTTGTTGTCATACCCTTTTCAAGCTTGATAACTATGCACAACTATAAACTACAGAATCTGTTCTTTTTTCCATTGCTATAACATAAATACCATCCGTTATTTCATATGTGATGACAAGTCGAACCAAAACAAAATATTTTTTCTTCCTAGGTGTAATCCATTGAACATAGATCCAATTTTTCCACTTTTTGGATTCCTCGAAATTTAGTTTTCCTGTTCCTGGTGGTATCAAAACGCCACTATCATTATTCAAATTGGTTTTGCTTAGGGCAATGTTGTGATGATCATTTTTTTATGTGAATTTTGTGTACTTTATCTTAAAGGCATTTGCATGGAAATTTTCATAAATATATACAAGCAGGATAATTCTTGCTGTTGTATCTTCTGGCATCGAAACTTCTTTATTAACTATGAAATTACATTATATCAGGGATTTTCTTATTACTTGATCATCTTCACAATTTTTGCCTGCTTTTCTTTAAATTTTGACGGTATTATACTAGCTACACTATGTATCTTGGACGTCAAAGGTTATTCCTTTCTCCTCAGAGACGCACAAGTTTATGCAACTTCCACGTAAATGTGACCCTGTGGTTGTTGCCCTTATCATCAAGTAATTTGGAATTTGTAATTCTTCAATTTTTTTATGATCTTCAGTAGTTGTTGTAATGATTCCTCAAATGTAAATATGTTTTACTACTGCTGATGTTACCACACAAAACATCTTGAAAAATATTGGAAGAGGCTGTAGTCGAGTTTAATCCATATGTAAAGTTTATGCATGTAAGTTACCTCATCTGGATGCTACATTCTGGAAAATTAAATTTTAGAATAGTCACAATTTTCTTACATACGCCTTTATGGGAAAAGTGTGAATCTTTAATCAGTGATTTTGCACTTCATGCAATAATTTTCATAGCTCTAGATCTCCTATTTCTCCTTCCCATTATCTTTTGCATATACTCGTACAAGAGTGTTTAGGTGTTTATCTATAATCTACATTCAGAGAAGTACTAAAAGCGTAGGAGCGCAAATGAAGTAATCCGTAAATACCTCTTATTTATTAATGTAGCGTCTTTAGTTCATGTTAACTTTCATCATCATCCTTATCTATTTTGGTTCTTGTGTTACTTAGGTTGGTGCCTAATAAAGTAATTTTTCAAATTAATTTAGTGCCTTTTTCAATTAAGCTACAAAATGTTCATTGGTGTTATGCATATAAATTAATTGTATGTCTGAGTATATGACATGAACTAGATTTAATTTATATATTAAGTTCCTTTTGGGGTTGAAGCTCCCAAATATAATTCATTTATGTTTGTGCAAATATCGAAATTAAAGAAAATTATGTGGCTTTCATGTAGGAACTGTTCTATTCCAAATACATTGCAGAGGATGAGTATCATGCATCAAAAAAACCATTATTACTGAGATTAGCAATTCAAGGAGCTGAAATTGACGCAAAAGATGCCATAGTGGGGATTGTAGAATTTCTTTCCCTTTTTAGTGGG